GTTCGGGTAAACTGCTTCCCATCAAGTATTTACTAATTTAAAACAGTCTTCCTCCCGAGATACGCATGGCGTACGGATTAAACACATTTGTAAGACTTCTTGACAAATCCCTAACTTGTACTGATCTCCTAGCACGCGCGAACACATCTGTGGCATACTCAGATATCAAAGGCCCTCTGCATGTCTAAATCATATCGGACCATTAGCTTGGTCTCCCTTTTATTTCTTCTTTGCAGTTCTATCAGATATCTATCCGTAGCTAAATGTCCTTCCGTAATTCCTACTTGAAGTAAACAGATACCTCATTGGACATATCGTCACTGCTCAGCTATGGTCGTATGTAAAGTGCTCTCACTATTATCCCAAACAGTTGTCATGTGGACTGCTCGCTTCCTTGTCTTCTACTTATGATCCTGCATCTTTAGAACCCGTAACTAATCAACCGGTTGGGGTAGCACAAGATACAATCAACATAAATCTAATGCAAGGTTTTCCTCGTCTAGTGTTTTCATCAGTTTTCTACTTTCATGTACACTGTATTGACCTACCAATAATTTCACCTCACTACTAATTGCCTTTTTATGACTGTTATATTCGACACTTTCCCACCTACTCTGGCAGGCATTTGTCTGCAATCACACCCGTCTAACTGCCTATAGATTGATTGGAATCCCATAATTTATATTGCAGCCATCTCAAGCATTGCGTCGGTGCCCTACCCACAGCCCATAATTTGTAACCCCTTGACAAGTTTGTAAAAGCAGTGTTCTCCAACACGATATGAAATATGGAGCATTATGTAATACAATATTTTATCAAGAAATAAACTTCAATTAGCCTAAAACCACGAAAGGAGGAAGAGTGAAGTTACTGACCAGTAAGCATTGATGGTGAGGGCGATGACTTAAACTTATCCTTACTTACGGGGCAGAACATCTTGCTTGTTTCAAGCTCTTTACAACTGAAGATTCTGACTTCTATTTTCCTTCCATAATTTGAACCTTTACCACCTTTTTACACATCAAAACCCATTGTTATCTATTGCTGCTGTTTCTTCTTTGGAAAGTGTAACCACATTTGATTTTAGTAAAAGCAGTATGAATTTTATCTACCAATTTACCATACACCTGTCTGTTCTACCATAGACCACTATACTGCTACCTTGTTTCTTTCTTTCGGCATAACGTTCTGAGTGCATAGCCATCGAGCTTCGTAAGCCTGAAACAAACTTAACGAACGCATCTTTTAATATCACAACCCATACCAAACGCCCTTTTTATTTACTTTATAATAACCATAAACTTCTAGATCAGTTATATTACATAAACACTTGATAATATTTCACTTGATAGTATTAACACACGGATGCCGAATTTGAACCTGTTTTGCGTTTCCAGAGATCAGAACTTGAGCGTTGTGCCATTTTTGAAGCATCATAAAAGTTGTGTTCATAGTAAATTACTAACATATATGCCTAGTTATTAACTCTCTGGTACATCCGCACAATATGCTGCCATAAACGTCGTACTTGTTCGCGTTTACCGAAAATTATTGTCGAGAACGCGTTACATAGTGACCGGATAATATAATCATTGGATGAGCATTGAGTTGGAATCAAAGAATTATATCAATTATCCGTGGCAAGCATTTTGTCTGGCGTATGCAAACTTTGCATTTCTTCGTAAGTTTACTGCCCTGGTAGACAACAACAATATGACCCTGTTAATTCTTAATTCATACATCAGTAATTTTGAGATTTCAATCATACATTTCTAAGTTACAAGGACAGACCCGTTTAATTACTGTACTACCAGTTTGGATAGTGTGGTAGCATTAACGTTGTATACAGACAGCCTTCAAGCCAACTCTATTCAAAAGCCTTAAAAGTAGATTTAATAGACTCCATAAACAAATATACACCGAAATTTAGCACAAATTTCTATGTCACTGATTCGTCCATAAATTATAGTCTCTCCGCGTATTTTTACCAAGGTTATTTTCTACGGTTTAAGACTACTGACTCCACACCCAACCCTCCTCCTTTACCTGGACTTGGGACCAGGAGTCAGAATTTTCAATGCGAACATCAAGAACGTTCTACCGTAGGGAGGTGAAACTTCGAGAACTACCACAACCATCAGAAAAAAGTAACTAGTATTTCCAAACCACTGTCTACACAAGATACTGAATGTCCATTGACCGGATACCATCATCAACAGCCTTCTGTGGGAGAGGAAAAACCAGATTCTATTTGAAGAGGAGGTTGGGAAAAGACGCTGAAGGTGGACAGAATATACGTTACAGAAATCACCGAACTGCATTGAAATGCTGAAGGGAAACGGAAAAGAGGAAGGCCAAAGAACATTGCATCGAGAATCGGAAGCAGATTTGAAAAGGATGAATAGCAACTGAAAACAGCTGGAAAGGGTAGTCCTGGATAGAGTTGAATGGAGAATGCTGATGAGTGGCCTATACTCCTTCATGAGCTGTATCAGGCGTAAGTAAGCTTATCGCTGAAAGAAATGAATTTTAATTACAGCCCGTTAGGAGACTTGAAAAAGTTCCCACACAAATTGGATTCCAGTTACTCATCAAGAAATCTATGTTAATCGGTGCTCTAGTTTGCCGTTAAATTGAAGTTTGACAATGTACATTAGTTCTACTGACTATCTCTAACGATTCCATAAATCAGTCTACTGATAGCACCTATTAATCTCTTGATAGCTCTATCCAGCGACATATAGAGCAACACTGACAGTGATGCAGTGACTGTATCAGCTAAGAATACATTCGAGGATGAATATCTTGAAGACAATTAGGTCCATCCAGTTCAGGCTGTTGTAGTAATCATCAGAAAACAATCTCAAAAAATTCTTGACTGATAAACCTTCCTTGAAATAACCGATTTACCCTTCTCCGTCGTCACTACGGTGTGGTTTGCTGAAGTACCTCAACTAGAAATCGGTCAGCACCTCTATTTCCAACCTGTAGTGAACCTTTTTGATGAGATTCAATCATTTCTCTGGGTCTTTATATTATTATGATAGAACAGCTGATTACGGTGATCCTAAGGAGTATCGAGCATTAAATATTAGTAGTTTCCATTCGTTTCTGGACTTACAGATGAACGTTAACTTGTTGGATCTAATATATTCTGTTCTGAAGAATGATTATTTTATCTGAATCTGAATTATAGTATAGCCTCAGTTCGATATTCTAGGAAAAGACTATATGGGTTATAACCCAGCAATTGTACATTTTCATTCTGAAGATACGACTAGTGTTCTGATTTTACAACCTGCTACCAGTAGCACCTGTATACGAAGCTTTCCCCCAACCAATGAAATTCAGAAGTCAGATGCGAGGAGATCGGAAAGATATATTTGATGCGTTATCAATATATCGGGAAGCGTTTGATCTAATCTGGCTAGTGAACGTAGGAACAGTGTCCTACGCTGGGCCGAAACGTGATCTGGTGCGGATGCATGACCGAAAGCCTTCAGTTAAACAAGTCCACTTAAAAAATGTGGTCAGCATCCAATGTCGAACACTTAAAGAGCTGTTGATTTTGCGGAATTATTTACAGCTACAATCCATACCAAGAGTGTGGAAAAATGCTTCAGCTTTCCCTTCTTGTTTGAATAATCCAGGTGATTTAACCATAACAAAAGTAAGCTTTATTGTATAAATCCCTGGCCTCGTTGTTGAAGTAAACATTAGAACTACCACTTAATACAATCGAGTGTCAGAGGTAGCTGTGCAAGCAGTCTCATTAACTAGTTATCCAAAATATTCTCCGTAAAACAAGAACTATAGACGCAGGCTCTCGTACAAGGTTCGTTGACAAATAGTCTCTCTCATTCGTAACAACATTTCCGTTCCTGGACTATGTTTCAGCTCGAGGTTATGGAAGAGTTGGTCTAACCTATATCGATCTGTTAGGTCTCCACGCTTAAGGATATCCCATTTTAAAATTTCGTAAGGCTCCGAAACAGCACTAGTAATAACATTAGGTGTAATGTGCCTGTCGAAATCGCGCAGTAGAGCCCTCACTACTGCGGAGAATTGTGAACATGGGTCTGACATGCCGTGCTTCTGGAAGTCAGCATCAGAACTACGCCTTGACATTGTCGGGCTAAAATGGCACCAGCTGAAATAGGAAGGTCGAGGAAGTCTTAAATTTAAATAACTTGGGAGTCTGTTCCACCATGATGAATTTAAGTTGTGGAAAAATATCCAAAAATATGAAACCAATACCACAATATGTAAAAATGGAAATAAAAAATAATATATGATGTTCCAATAAGGAACAAACTCACACCTTACGAACTGATGGAACAGATAACGTCCGTCTCACCACTATGGATCCCACAGGTATTTCGAGTTTGACAACGCCTCTACACATAACGCTTATATGAACGAAACGTCCAAGCCTAGTCAAATCAGAAGTCAAAAATGAAGAGGTTTGAAGGTATATCTGAAAAGCTATCGATATATCGAGAAGCGTTTAATCTAAGCTTGCTAACGGTCGTGGGAGATGTGCAGCATGTCGCACCTACTCGTGATTTGGTGCGGATGCTTAACTGAGCTCCTTCAGGTAGATGCGTCCGTGAAAATTAATCAGGTCAGCATTAAATTCAAAGACATACAGAACTATTTATTTTGGGGATTTATTTACCGCTCTATGGGGTCGAAGATTCAGTAAGTGTAAACAATGCACAGACATTTATCAGACGAAATGTCGACAATATTGAGAAATAATGCAATCGTCAAATTGAGGTGGTCCCTAATTCGAAACTAGAAGCAGATAGGTCAACACGTCATAGGCTAGGCTAAGGATTTGTAGTTTGTAAAGCGCGCCAACGTTTAAATAAAAATTACAGCAAATAAAGCATTTTCATATTCCGAAATTGAAGAAGAAAGTGAAGAAAATATAGATTGCTCTTGGTAGTTTGTTTTTTCAGTTGTTCGAGATATATGACACTGGGCGCCGAGACGCCATGTTCGGTGTTCTATGCCCGTCATCTATGGTGAGTGTTTGTCTTCTGTTTAAAAGCAATATGTCCAGTGGTTTCCTTATACTAAATTACTTTTGTTTGTTCTTTTTAGCCTAACAAACGTAAAGTAAGTTCCAAGTAATTTTGCTTCTTGGCTGAAATATATTCTATTGTATATTATTTTCACTTGTCTCTTCTAAACTCTTTGTACTTCTCGTATCGTAACTTAGTATCAGCCAAGAATAGGAACTACACAACGTGATTTTGTGATGGTTCTTCGCGCATTTGTACTGCGCAGTATGTGTAAGATTTACGGATGTTCATGCGTCATTGCCTTTGTTGCTGTCCGGATATGGTAGGATTACAGGACCTCAAAATCGTTTCGTGAACTATTTATACTGTAGGGGTTGATGGGAGGAGAGTGGTTCTCAAAGTCAGTTAGAATAACATTTCTCTTATGATTGTTAAACAAGATTTTCATTACGGACCCAACTGTTCAGTGAATAGGATCATTTCAACAAATACGCTTGACTAATAGGGCTAGAGACACTCCAGTTTTACTGACCACTAGTCGAATGGGTAACAGGTTAACTTCCACTGCATGAGCCTTGGCGATAATCTTCCCGTACCGAAAAATCTGAAACTGAGGCACGTGTTAAAGCATAGTCAGTCGAAGGACTCGCTACATTATCATTTACCATTACATTCAGTTGATCATGTGTAACTCAGTTGAAGTTACTGATGTACGTTGTTTTACTTTCTCCATTCGTTGTATGAGCTGCTACGGTGGCACCACAGTCTCACCATCACTTCAGATGCCGGGACCTATTGTCTGTGTTTAGATGCTACGTGCTTTATGGCTTAACCCTAAATAGTGTAATTGACTATAGGACAAGAATCATTCATACCAAGTTATTAGTTAGTTTGTTCTGTGTGAGGGATCACAGACTAGGTTCTGCAAAGTGATCGTGTTTCATAGTCACATGCTTGAGGCGACTTAAATTTCTAAGTAACCTAATTTTGTAAGTTCTAAAACTGATATTACCCTTTGATCTCTAACTGTTATATGTTGTTCACTCTTCTCTGGAGCCGTTCGTTTCAGAGATTTTAAATGATATCAGCACCCAGTTTAAATTTAAAAGGTTTTCCAAACAGGTACAACTTGGGACTAGTCAAATCGGGTTACTTCGCTAAGATATGCTTCAGCTGTAATAGTGTTGGGCTAGGTTGAGTGATTAGGTAACTAACATTTCGTAAATTAAGTGTCAAGTTTTTGGTGACAACTAATCTTTAAACGTTGCTAGTATAAGATTCAGTTTTATACACCTGATAAGAGTGCTATAAAAACCTTTGATTGTTCTTTCTCCGTCCGTAAATTTGTAATGTCACTCAGCTAATAAAGGCGGTAAGTTTTCCTTAAAAATTTTACACTTCCATCCCTTATGTGTTTGGTATAGTTATGACATTTATCTAATATTTTGTAGCTAATATATTTATAACGCTTAATCATCTTTCTTTCTGTAGCGAGATTTGAGCGTACCAAGCATAAATTTACATCGCAACGGTCATCTCTCAATGGACCTCGAAACAGTCGATACTAAAAAGGTAAACTTTTAAACTACTGCTCACTTTTGTAGTCGCGTGTCGACCGGTTGGAAGCATCACCTTCACGTGTTATACACATTCGAAATATGCCAGGAGATGCAACTGAAAACGAAATCGCCCTTTTTGCCATACCTTTTGGTCTTCTTAAAAACATGGTCCTTTCTAAAAGAAATAACCAAGCACTCATTGAAATGCATGTTTTGGAGGAAGCTGTGCAACTAGTTGCTCATTATTTAAAGTATCCTGTAACTTTACACGGGAAACACTTAATCTTTCAATTTTCTACACATTCCCATCTCGAACTAATTTCGGAAAACGATGCAATAGTTAATGCTATTAAGAATGCCAACCGTGTTGTTCAGCAAGATCTGCCGGGTGCTCAGACAGGTGTTCCTAACACTGTACTTCATGTGGTGATTGACAATATCATGGGCCAGCAAATCAACCACGTTATTTTGTATAAGGTAATCTCTCTATTTCAATCCAGCTTTGTAGATATTTCATCGGTTTGGAACTATTTTACGTGTTTTAATTTTCTTACGTAACAACCAATATCGATGCTTGTTGGAGTTTCAAAACCATATTCAAGCGTTCGTCGCTATGTTAGTAAGTAAAACTTATTTCGTTAAACTCAGTTCTCGCCATTTCTGTGCATTTTAATTATCAGTAAATGCTCTGAGTCATTTAATTCCATCGGTAACTTAATTGTTAAATGTGTTGCCTTGGAAATCTTTATCGGTCTCTACTAATTGTAAACCTATTGAGATCTTTTTGTAAATCTAAGTACTACATTTTCTTTTGAGCTTCTTTATGAACCTTGCATTGCTCTATTCGTCAGTTTCCTCTGACTAGACGGAAAAAATCATTTTAACATACAATTTAACATTTTGATTTCTCACTTCAACTTAAGTAATTGTTTGTCTCAATTAGTATGCACTTGGAATGTTCATTTTCTCTCCATACTTTCATTGCTGTTATTGCCACTGTTGATTAATGGTCACTCTAAATATCCTTAAGCAAAATTTCACTTTTATCAATAACCTTAGAACAATATGATCAATTTACCTTAGTGGAAAACTCAAGGCGAAATTTAGGACAGTCGGTCAAAATTACTCTTGATTGTAACAACATTCATAACCAGTTCTTATCTATATTTACTTTGTAAAGCTAGTTATCGAAAGGTCAGTGGTTATCTACAAAACTGCTGACTACAATTTAGTTGAACATTACTTAACTTTCTTAATCTTCCACTATTTCGTTACTGTTTTTTGAGGTTAGTTTTCGTCTGTCTTTCTTTTCAAAAATCTTGCTATCGCATTCCATATTTTAGCTTCTAAACGGTCAGAATATTTATACGGGTTGTTGTTCTCTTCAAGTGGAATTTTGGAAAGCCAGAGGACCTTTGGAAGTTCGTCGCGAGAATGATAAATGCCGTGATTATACTATATCACCTCTAACGGATGATGAACTCAACAGTTTACAAGCACTTCCTGGTGGAGTGACTGCGTCGACAAATAATTCAACCATCAATTCAATTTCTCAACCTTCTATCGGGCAAAATATACCACTAGGTAACCCGACGGCAGCTTTCACCGCTGTCCCCCAAGCCACAGCGTCAGGTATCAATGATCTTGCTATTCAGCTAACGTTGCTTGCTCAACAATCTGGTCTTGCATTGACCCCTGCTGCAGCCGCAGCTACTGCCAGTTTCATGGCTTTGACTGCGCAAGGTGGGAATTCTGCCATAAACCCGACTCCAGGAACTGTTTTAAATGCTGCATCTCTGCAAGGTCCTCGTGCAGCTTTACCAACTGTACAAAACCAAACACAGCTTTTGCCGAACTTGATTAATCAATCTGTGTCTAACTTGGGTCAAACTGGAGCTAGCACTGTGTTAATAGTTTCCAATCTCAATGAGGAGGTACGTATTCATTGTTCTTCTTAGATTTTAGTCTTCAATTTTCTTTTTCCATTTAAATTTCCCTACAGATTATTTGATAAAGTTTTAAATTCACTCTTACTCTATCCTTTATTGTTATTATTGCTTTGTTCATTGTGATAAAGCTTATTGTTCGCAATTATTTTTAACTTATTGCGTTTATTTTTTCCTTTTTCCTCTCCGTAATCTATCATTTGATTCCAATGTGACTGACTACAATTCGACTTCACTGTGATGTGGTGCTTAATCCACTTGTGAAATGGTACAATTTATCTTCGCTGTACAAATCAACAACTCAATGTTTCATGTTGGTATCTACACAAACTTAAAATGCATTCTTACTACGTTTCGGTCTGTTCCATTATTTATTTTCACATATATACAAACTAATTTTGTACGTATGCTTTGCGTGCTCACATTTCAATTTTATATCTGGGTTTTATCTACCTACTGTTTTCTGAACTAGAAAGTATATCCAGATGCATTATTCACACTCTTCGGTAGGTTTATTTATTTATTCTCTCAAAAAATCAATTTTCCTATATTTCTGACTTTAAATGGCAATACAACCTCAGCTCACTGTTATCATTTCCGAGTTCAGTCGACACATTTTTAATAATTTTCTCGTAGTTTATTTGGTATTTCTAATTGTTTCTAATTCTTCTGTTCAATAGGTGTTTATGGTGATGTTACTCGAGTCAAAATAATGTTCAATAAAAAAAGTACTGCTCTTGTGCAGTTTTCAGATCCACAACAAGCTCTCACAGGTATTTTCTTAATAACGAGTTTTGATATTATGTCACTTTTTTGTAGCTTTGTATCATCTCAATGGCCAACCATTATATGGAAAACCTTTAAAAATAGCTGTTTCACGCTTCAACATTGTCCAGTTGCCAAAAGAAGATAATGATGTCGGACTTACTAAAGACTATACCAATAGTCCGCTTCATCGTTTTAGAAAGCCGAATTCTAAGAATTTCACTAACATTTATGCTCCCAATCACGTTTTGCATTTAAGTAATATACCCTCTGCTATCACAGAAGAAGAGGTTAGAATGATTTTTGAAACCAAAGGATATCATGTTACAGACTTCAAGTTTATGATGTAAGTTGTCTGTTGATATAACCATTCTCCTTTGCTTAGGAAAGATAAAAAGATGGCATTAATCCAACTGGAAAACGTTGATATGGCTATCCAAGCCTTGATTGTAAGTCATTCTTTATAACGATGCTTATCATTAATCTGCTTTTCAGGACCTTCACAACTGTCAGCTAACAGAAAATTCCCATTTGCGTATCAGTTTCAGTAAAACAGCTATATAAATTAATAATCTATCTAACCAGTTTGTTTGCTTTTCTCTGATTTCGATTTCTGGTACATAAACTTTCATATTTTAGCAAGTTTTTTTCTTATTTCGTTTAATCTTTTGTGACAGTCTCATAAGTCCTTATGTTATGCTATACTTGTTCATCCCTGTCAAATGTTAACCTCTCAATTTTACCTACGAAACAGGATTCAAATGTAAGATCAACGCAAAGGTAGAGTTTGTTGAACGAAGTCCACACTGTTAATAATTTTCACTAATCTCAATTTACATAAGTATTGACATAATTTCGTGTTTGTATTTTCGACACATCTTAGTTCATTTGTAATATACGAAGTTTCGGATGTTTCTGAACTAACTGTAAGACTATGTACCTGTAAATATTCATAAGCTTGAGTATGAATCAACGTCAAACAGTTTACATTTCAGTTAATGGCAAACGATAGTTCATGTACTCCACAGCGTTTTGTTCATTTGCCGGTCAGTTTTTTCACAAACTTTAACTAAAAGTTTTGAACTAGAGTATCCACAAGTTTATTTAAAACAGGATTTTGATAAATTGATCAACGCAAAGAAATCGGCTAGTCGAAAAGTTGAATTCACTGAGTAGATTCATCTAATGTAATCTGTAATTGTCAGTATACTCGTTTTACAATGATTAACAACGTCAACAAAATTCTCGATGTAGTCAATTCAAAACTGAGTGTTTCAGTCATCGATTGTTTGTCTCAGTTTATGTAATTCTGAACTTAATATCCTATATATGCTAGAAACATATGACCGAATAATAGTAACTATAATGAGGTTTATGTTTCTGTTTCACACTTACTACCTCCCGTTTTTGATTTACTAGTCTATCATTGTCTAAATATTCAGACGCTCCTTTATAGTATTCTACAGAAAAGATCTATGAACTCTAAAACCTTAATCAATTTCTTCTCAGCGGTAACCTCAATAATTAAGTTCATTCTTTCAGTTTCAATTCATACCAAAACTTCGGAATAAATATCTTAATAATCAAGACATTGTAAATAAAAAAATGTTTGCCTTGAATAACGTTCTCTCTTTTTCTATAAACGTTTCTTTTTATTTCCGTAAGTAATATTGAAATAGTTTTGTGAAGATCGATTCAGATTGTAAGGTGTATTTGTCAAAATGAACAGTAAGTAATAAGTTTGAGTATGCCGAAATCTGCCTGCTAGTGACTTTTTTACCATAACTAAGTGTCTGCTGTGGAAATGATCCCTGAGTATAAACTTCTGTATACATCAAATTAATACCTGAATGTGTGTATCATTGGACTCTGACTGAGCGGTCCAATAGTAGGACATGAGATTAAGAGTTTTATCACTGGTGCGGTCATAGTTTGACACTAATGAGTCCCATACAATAGCAGAGCAGCTGTTCCTCACTGCTTGATATTCCGTAGTGGCCAAACTGATACCTATTTAATAAAAATACAACCCACAAAAGTAGTATATCTTTTTCTATCGGGACTTTAAAATAAACTAGATAGCGAGTATTCAACTTTTTTTACACTAGGAATATCTTGTATGCTCTTGTTTACCAGTTTAGACATGGTCTCTAATCAATGAATCACTAATTGAGACCCTTTGCCTACGAAGATTAAGTTATGTAATGTTGACCTATTTACGTTTCATTAAACAACTGAGAAGTTGAGCTGCCAGTTTATGTTGTAGATTTATTCAGCGGTTAAGTCGTATAACCTCCGATTATGTTATGAAACATTATTTCTGTCTTGTAAATTGCACTAGTTTCCTTGTATGGCATTCAGATACACTGTGATCTAAATTCACGTAATGTTTTCCCTCCACTCGACTTAAGAGCAAATGTAGGGATTACAGGTGATTGATCTTACAATCTCCAAACACTTACTATCTGTTTGAAAACTAAGCAGTCCATTTATTCATTCAGTATTGTTTGTTTGAATCTTCCCATCGATTTGTTAGGACTGCAACTGGTCAGTCTCTAATAGGCATATGTGCCTCAATGTAGCCTTAATTCACAAGCATGGTAAGCAGAGATGGGTAGTGGCTAGCAGTGGAATCCAGTAGTATTGGATTCCACTGATGAATGAGTGAAACAACCAGTAAATTTTGTCCTACTCAAAGCAGCAAGTTTAATTATGTGACTGAGCTTCCACGGATGTTAGCGAAAAAGCATGTTTAGCCTGTACATTTGTTTATCAAGAAACTATCACTAGTCATTAAAACCTTGTGAGAATAAATGTCAGAAATTTCCATCTTAGCGAAGTTGCAAAACTGTTTTCGGGACAGAAGAATAAAATATTCACGCTTCTCGTAAAACTTAAACCTGAAGTTTTCCATCATGAAGCATATGCGACCGTACACTAGATAGAATCTGATGCATTTAGGTTCCACGAAAAATGTCAAAACATTCAGATATCCAGTTTGTAATCCAGGAGGAACATATTTTTTTTTAGTTTTGATCAGTTCATTATAGATCATTCGTACCCACAATTTAGTAAACTCCAAAGTCAAACCTTAATGATAATGATTGGATGTTGGCTGAGTGGTTAGGTGCTCGCCCGCGATACTATAAGTGTTGGGTTCGAATTTTGCGAGGCGGGATCGTGGATGCGCACTGGTGAGGAGTCCCACAATAGGACGAAACGGCCATTCAGTGTTTTTATATTTTCCATGATGGTCTAGCTTCAATTGACTCATGATTTCAACTATATAAAATTACTAAAATCTCCACAAAACCCTCTTCTAATAATTGAATAAAATCAACTACGATGGAGAATCGCTTCACTGTAATAGTTTCCAAAACAGTTTGACTTAATTTCATAAATTTTCTTTACATATAGTTTAAGCATTTATATTCATTTTCAAAAGAATGTAATAATCTAATTTTGACTTTAAAAAAATAAAAGACATTAATCTTAATTATCTTGAAGTATAACGGTTAAGGTTTCTAGAAATTTCTAATTTTAAAATAATTGAATTATATCTAATTCACTGATTACGTCGTTCAAGCACGTGTTTTTTCTATTTTTTCAAAATGGGGTCATGGAGATTGTTGAGTTTTTGATTAAGATCATGAATCAATCAATTTTACACCACCAGTGAAAACCTGGAGGGACTAGACGGCCATTTCATCATAATATGGGACTCTTCAGCAGCGCTCATACACGATCCTGTATAAAGGTAACTCAAACCCAGGGTTATCTCAGGTTAACTAAAAGGATATGATTATCGTAGATATCCCGGTGCTGTCGGTGCAAACTGAACGACCTACATCCGCAAACAATGACTTCGTGGTCTGTCGCACATCTTGTTTTAAGCAGCTTTGTTTTCCTCACCTTATTAAATTAGCAAGTCTTGTAGGTATCAGAAAACCAAAGTTCAGTTCCCAGAATTGTGAGAATCCTCGTACGAACAGGCTAACGTACAAAGATTAGCAGTAAATTGTGTCACTCGTCATATGAGAGTATAACCAGGGATAGTATCCACCCATTGGTTTCTAGGATTTGATTGTTTATTGCGTCATATCCGGCAGGATTTATTGTTTGATATTTTACATAAGAGCTGGGATTATGTTTCATTTGCTATACTCAGTGCATCTTTCAAATGAAGCTATACCTAGGTGACAACAGTAGTATTGACCAAACCAAAGTAGTGAATGTGACTGGATCATTCTGGTTTTGTTGAAAAACTTTACATCGCAGCACAAAACTACCATCCAGAGTTTGGAAAACTCCAAGTCAGTTTTTTGATACACACTAAATGAAACATCGTCATAGCTCGCTTCTTAGTATTCTTTATGATGAAGCATTATGAGACTATCCCCTAAATGCCCTGGTACAGCCGAGAGTGGGGAGAATCTGCTCTCCCTCTCGAAATGCTCTCATATCGCCACGCGAATATATAGCCTCTGCCAGAAAAGTTCTACTCATTGCCTTCTCGTGGCGGGGGGTGTTGTTTACGAAATTGAGAGAACGAAATGCGAATGTCCGGCGCTTTAACCGGGTTGGTGGATGTGGAGGATCCACCTAGGGGAGTTGGAAAACCCTGATTCCAAACCAATGGTGAACATGGGCTCCAGTATCTTTAGGAAACAAATGGCATATAAATCAATCGTTGGTCACCGACTACCATGGAATTGCATTTCCTCATGATGCTCCACTGCCTTGTGGAGGGAATACAAACACCTTTCTCCCTTGTTTCACTTGAGCAGTGGGGTTGGGCAGGGTTGCCCGATCTCACCAGTCCTCTTCAACCTTGCCATCGATGACATCCTGGAAACAGCTCTGATGGATGTAAGTAATCGCGGTGTCGATCCGTTGCCTGGAGAACGACTTTTCGACCTCGAGTATGCAGATGATATAGTCTTACTGTGCGATAATGCCCAAGGCATGCAATCAGCACTTAATCAGTTAGCAATCAGTGTCCGCAGGTACGGCATGTGCTTTGCACCCTCCAAGTGCAAAGTACTCCTACAAGACTGGCAGGATTCTCATCCTGTACTCACCCTGGATGGTGAGGAGATCGAAGTAGTTGAGAAGTTCGTGTATCTAGGTAGCTATATAAGTGCTGGTGGTGGCGTAAATAGTATAATGGTGACAAGTGTTTGTAAAGCATTAAGATGTTGAGTTAAGTGAGTGACGTGTCGCTCACTCTCGAGCTCAATAAAAGTCGGCGTAATAAACCAGATGACTTTAACTGCTTATCATCAGTAAGTCGTAACTCATTTGCCAAGTACTATATGGTTTATGTAGTTGGATAAAATTCACGTCTTATTATAGAAGTGTTATCTGTATATTGATATTTGTACTAAGGTGATTAGAGTTGAGTTTGTAGTGACCTAATTTTACGAAGAGAACGCGATTGGTATAATGGAAACAATTATTATAACCAATTGTACCTGTTTGTTTAAGTGTACAAAACATACACTGTCTTCCGTTGCCTGTGACCTTGCACGAATTCGCATACGCTTGTAAGCTATGCCACGGAT